CTTCACACATAAAACCCCCCCCCCCCCATATCTCATTCGTCACCCCTTTTTTTCGTCCCCTCCTTTTTAGCTTTCTCTTGTATAGAAACACAATCAACAACAAAGGAAGTAAGGGTCTAAATGAGATATAAGTGATACAAATTAGGCGAGAAACGGTAGATATCTCTTTTCTTCCTCTACTCCTCTTTGATTTAATACTCAGACTCCCAATATCAATGTCTAGATGAGGGAGGAATATAATATTGTATAAATCATATTTTAAAAGAGTATACAACATATGATACAAATGTATAACAAAGATAAAATACAATTGAATATATTGATGCAAATTTATAGCTAGTTGCATATACTCAAATACATGGATACAAAGTGAATACACTAGATATAATTATGTTTTAATACAATTATATTTATTGATATAAATTGTATTCGTTGATACTTGATACACTTGCTACAAAATTAATACACAAGGAACAAATACACTTGACATTTGTTGATACAATTTGATATAATTGTGTTCGTTAACACAAATTATATTTATTAATACTTGACTTGTAATTTTATTGATGCAAATCAATTGTATAGTATAAATTGATAAAACCTGATGGAACATGCTATTTGGAGGAAAGGAGTGAACAATGAGAGAGAGAGAGAGAGCAAATGGCATATTTTTCCTTTGTATATTATTATTTTGTAATATTAATTTTTTTATGTGCATGTCATCATATTTTTGTAATAGTTATGATGTGTCGTTAAAAAATAATGTGGAAATTTCACGTGTAGTTAGTTATATTATACACCTATTGATCAGATGAGCAACAAAGCCAAATACGAAGATCTTTCAGGTCATTCCGCGTTTATGATAGAAAAGTTTTTATTTTACTTTTTGTTATGCATAAGTCATTTAAATTTAAGGGTTATCACGCAAAAATATTTTTCTATTTTATAATACATAAATTACATCTAATTTTAAATTTATCACATCAAAATAAACTTTTAAATTTTTTATCACATAGAGTCATTTAATTTTGCCTAACTTAACAAAAAAAAGTATATTTCACCAAAAAAAATTGTATTCAACACCATTTATATGACATGACACTTCAGAATAAGTTAATTACATTGAGAAAATCCAAAAATCTGCCTTAATATTTTGCTTAATAATATTTATGTTTCTTGTGGTTTATGATATACATATACTAGCTTTGGTTTGATACTTTGTAATAATTTTAACTTATTATCGTTAATTAGTTTTTAAAAAGTAATTTAACTACTTTGACCTTACTAATATACGTACTTTAAAAAAAGAAGTAAATTTCATATATACATTTTTAATTAACAAAAGATTTTTTCTTACAGAATCAAAGAAATCAATGGAAAACATGAGTTTGAAGAAGGTCTCTGAATTAATTCATTACATTTAATATTGTTTTATTGAGCTAATTAGCTATTTTAGAGTGTCATATCATAATTTTGGTACAAAATATAAAAACATCAAGAGAAATATACATTTTAGTAAACTTAGACAAAATTAAATATTTTCATGCGACATAATTTAGATAAAAATGACTTTTACGCCGTAAACATACAGTTAAATGACTTTTAATTGGTACTCCCTCCGTTCCTATTTATATGTCACCATTTTAGATTTTACATTCCTTGAGAAATTAGGTTGGTTTACCATTCTACCCTTATTTAGTGTTCTCTTGTAGAGTTGTAGTCAAGTTTTCAATAAATGAACATACATTAATTTATTTTGATTAATTAAATTAACAAATGAACATTAATTAATCATTTGGTTTTTTCTATGTTAGTCAAATTCATACTTTCAAAGCTAATAACACTCAAGGGTAAAATAGGAAGAATAATGCTATTTATGTATTGGTTTTGTGAAATGACAAGTACTCCCATCCGTCCACTTATATTTGTCATGTTGCGTTTTTCAAAAGTCAATTTAACTAATTTTCAAAGATAAATTAGATTACATTATTCGATATTTTAAACAGGAAATTTAGATATTCAAAAACTATAAGAAAAGTACTACAAATTACAATTTTTTACATATTAATATGATGAAAAAATACATCGTAAAATGTTAGTCAATTTTTTTATCATTTGACTCTAAAAAAGAAAATCATGACAATTAAAAGTGAACGGGGGAGTATCGAACATTTATTTTTAGCAAGGACGACATGTAAATAAAAATGGGGAGAATAAATAGAAAAATAATCTTTGTCTAATAACCCTTAAAATTAAATGACTTTTATATGTAGCCAAAAAAGGTCTCTTGACTCATTCGGGATGGCCCAGTTGGTTTAGAGGTGGTCATCCACACTGATGACTCGAGATAGACCCCCCCTCAATGTCTTCCGAGTTGGGCATGTCGCACTAGTGCGGTTTACATCCCTTAATTTTGTGATTTGTAAGCTATTACACTGTGGAAGGTTTATCCGTGCGCATAAAATGCTCACC